TTAGAAAAGTATCCATAATTTTATGACAGGTGAGTTTGCATATTTTGATCGGAAGTTTGTTTCTCCCGGCATTTTCAATTAAATGCTTTGTTTATAACCTTACTAGAAGAAATTATTGATCGGATATTTTTAATGTGGATGTGGTGGGAATATTTTTAGGGCATCACGATCAATGCAAATACTTGGACGAGTGCTGGGCATGCTGTTAATCAAGTTTATGATCTACTTTACATGATGGGACGAGATGATGTTGCTGTTGGAGTTGGAGGTGAGGGTGGAATACTAGCAAATGGTACCATTCTCCCTAATGTCGGTGGATATCTTCCAATTATAGAACAGGTTCTTGTCGTCTTCTAATTTCTAAACCTTAAAGTACACAAAAAAATATTTTTGTCTTGCTTGATAATGAAATGGTAATTCATCATCGTATCAGGGAATGACAACAGTGGGAGGTTGCAGATACAGGAGGGCCATTCCTGTGGGCCTTGGAGGGCGCTTAGACATCGATGCCAACTATGGTATCAGGAAAGCTTTCCTACCGCAGGTACAAACATAATACACTATTAATATTAATATTTTTTAATAATTATATTATTCATAAAATACTTATTTATTTTCTCGATAATTAATTTATGTTATTATGTTTTTTTATTATATTTATTCAACATTTGATTTAAAGTATCATGAAATTAGGGAAGTAGGAAATACACTCCACTGCAACAAGCAACTTCTCAGGAAGTGTTGATTGAAAAAATATCTGAGGGCCCTATAACTCTGCTTGTGATTGGAGCACACACGAACATTGCAATTTTCCTAATGAACAACCCACACCTAAAGAAAAATGTGGAGCATATTTATATAATGGGTGGTGGTGTAAGGTCAAGCAATCCAACAGGTTGTTGCCCCAAAAATGCTACATCTTGTGTGCCTCGCCAGTGTGGTGACCGTGGCAATATGTTCACAGATTATAATACAAACCCTTATGCAGAGTTCAATATATTTTCAGACCCCTTTGCAGCATACCAGGTCAGACATTTTAAATTTAATATATTGTAAATCCTTACCGTTGTTGTTCTATATACTGTTACTCCATAACTAATAAAATACACCTTTAGTTTCATAACAATATTGTTTACTTTCCCTTGATATCAACTGCAATCAACTTGATACTCTTCTTTAAGGTTCAGATTTAAGTACATTGCGATAAAAAGAAAAATGGTTTTATGGATAGGCCGGTTTATTTGTGTATTTTTAAGGAATTTTTTTTTGGTGTTGCTGTAATTTAAAACATGATTTAAAAAACTACAATAATTAAATATTTGATTTAATAAATAAAAACTCAAAAATTATTTCAACGTTTTTTAAAAATTTGAAAAAGTAGCATTTGGAAAAAAATATTATAGAAGGTTTATGAGAAAGTATGCTATGCAAAAATTATTTAATAGATTGATAATATAGAAGATTTTACATTTACATTCACGGTGGATAGCTATTAAATTTTATGATTATTTATTTTTAAATATATTCAAGACTTACATATATTTTTAATCTCTCAAATTTAAGATAAATTTATTT